CACATACTTGGCCTGGGCATTTACATTCGTAAGAATTCACCCATTTGTTGGGAAACTAGGTTTGAATCCACAGACTACTCTTTTATGTGCTTTTGTTTAGCACCACTTCACTCCTTTCTTTTTTCCATTACCTTTCTCTTTGTTCTATATCGCTCTCCTTTATCTCAAGACTTATCTCTTCTGATCATATTGACCAAACCCTCTCTCTTTATTTATCAGCCAATATTGTTGTTGTCGGTGACTTTAATGTTCATCACACTGAATGGCTTGGCTCTAGTGTCAGTGACTCTGTAGCCATTAAAGCCCATAACTTTTGCCTTTCTCAATCCCTAACTCAAATAGTCAACTTTCCAACTCGCTTTCTGGACAACCTGAATAATTTACCTTCTCTACTTGACTTATGTCTTGTTTCTGATCCTAGTCAGTGCTCAGTTTCTCCACATTCATCCTTAGGTGCCTCTGATCACAGTTTGATCTCTCTAAAACTATTATCTCATTCTTCTTCATCATCAGAATCCCCCTATCATGGTACCTTGTACCCTTTCCGTGATTTTCGTCATGATGGCCCTTGGGTAGAAGTTCTCAATGATTCCAGGTCAAGCCTTACTCTTCTCCGTGGTTTTTCTCACATTGTGCTGCTGCAATTGCCAATCGGACCGTCACTTCCATATCGATCAGCAAAACAATTCTCCAGAAAACAGATGCCTGTTTATTACTGCTAGGAACCATTGTAAAAAGGTTTTGTCTAGCTCCAAAGCCCGCAATTCTCAGGTCATGAAATCTCGTATTTCATCACAGAAATTAGGCTCGATGATAAAATAATAATACGATGATAAAAATGATAATTAATAAAAAGTTAATAAAACCACCTGACTTTACTAAAACTTATGGTCAATATGTGTAAACACATTCTAAAGAACTGTTATTTTCCAGAGTATTCTAAAAAATTTCTAGAATATTATGGAGTTTTCCTGAATGTTCTATAACCAATTCCTTTAGTATCAAGTATCTTCCCAATGTTCTGGTCTTCTTTATTTACAGTTCAAATAAAAACTAAAGTGAGTGAAAAATTATTGCCAGAGGATCATAGGATTGAAAAAAAACAAACAGCACAGTCATATAAATTATAGAAAAGTACAAAAAAATAAATTATTGGCCAATCGATTGTGAAATTTTTAAAAAAGAGTCTTGAAATATCAAAATTGTCTCAAATATTTTGCACATTCATGATTGCCCTCCTGTAGTCAGTCAGGAACAATTTAATTTTGATTAATAATATTTTGAATGAAGCAACAACATTTATAACAAAATTCAACTGAAAGTTGAATGAGCAAGACAAAACGCTTGCAATAAAGCTGTGCCTTTTTAAGAAAAATGGTTTTTCAAGATTTAAAAAAAAATGTTCATCAGTAAAAAAATCCATATGAAATAGCTAAAAATACAGGTTTCAATTTTCTATGTTACACAAGGACCAAAGGAAATAATTATAAAATGGTTAGTAAAACCTAAAACATTTTTCATGTCCGTATAATAGTGACATATAAAAGATCTGATAATATAATAGATATTGACATATAACTAAAACTTTTTTTCTATAATAGATTGAGCTAAACTTACGATGAATTAAACAACTCTTCTTAGTCTACAACTCTATTTCTTGAAAACCATCATCATGGGAAAAGCAAAAGTCTCAAATAAAAAATATCTTAAATAGATTAACTATCAAACATATCAGCGCAAAACAACTGTGAAAAGGAGCATTACAGATTAAGGAGAAAGCACATTAATATGCAATTCTTTACTTAGATAAAAAAATGATTTCAAAAATTGAAAGTGTCTGACAAACTTACTAATATATTTTTCAAAACACCATTGAATGTCTAAATGAAAAGATTCTTGAAAGTTAAAACTTAGGATTAGAAGCAGCTGACTTAAAAATAAAAGAATTTACTTTATACAACCCTTGCCATTAAAAAGAAACTGTAATAGAAAAATAACTGTGTTTGCAGTTTACAGACAATTTTTATAAGATTATTATAAAAAAAGTCTTAGAGTTATTTTTTGAAAAAGATCATTCTCCTGATAATACAGTATTCATTAGCCATCAATCAAACTTGGCCAAAATCAACAAGATAAGTAAAAAGTTTTATGGCCAAGTTCTGGTTAATACAGAAAAAGAATGAAATCTGCAGTTTTGATCAACTAAACAAGGTAACCATGATGTGACTACTTAGGACTTTCCAAACTGACAACCAATCAACTTGGAAAAAAACCACTAAATTAATTTATTTGTTTTAATTCTTCTTTATATTCAAAAAATATTCCTGTTTAAACATTGACTTAAATGTAACTTACAGCTAAAAAAAAAAGTGTTTTTTATATGTCAAGTACTTTAACAATAAAAATGATACATAAAACAATAGTGTCAAATAACATTATACTCCTAAAAAAATACAAATTTGTAATATTTAGAAGATGACATTAAATAATTATTTGTTTTCATTTAGTCAGTGATTGTACAATACAAAAATAAAACTTATTGATTAAGGTACTTTTCCTAATACTATAATAACATTACTTACTTTGAAATCCCATAACAGCTTTGACAGGGCGAAGAAATCGAATGATTCGCAAACCTTTTACTTGACATTGGTTCGGTATTACATTTGATGTTGCTAAAATGCTGGTAATTGAAAGCAAAATATACTTGAATTAAATAATTTTTTCATGTATTACTATAAAATAATGCATGTAAATATGATGGTAAAATCAAAAAATCAATGAAATCGTGTTTAAAATAGATACAGAAACATTTCTTATTGTATTGATTCTTATTCAACATTGAACAACATATGAAACATGTTTTTAATATGAGTATATTAAAAATTAAATTAAAGTGCAATTAAAATAAATTAAAGTATTTAAAATGAGTATATTAAAAATTAAATTAAAGTACAATTAAAATAAATTAAAGTATTTAATATGAGTATATTAAAAATTAAATTAAAGTACAATTAAAATAAATTAAAGTATTTAATATGAGTATATTAAAAATTAAATTAAAGTACAATTAAAATAAATTAAAGTATTTAATATGAGTATATTAAAAATTAAATTAAAGTGCAATTAAAATAAATTAAAGTATTTAATATGAGTATATTAAAAATTAAATTAAAGTACAATTAAAATAAATTAAAGTATTTAATATGAGTATATTAAAAATTAAATTAAAGTACAATTAAAATAAATTAAAGTATTTAATATGAGTATATTAAAAATTAAATTAAAGTACAATTAAAATAAATTAAAGTATTTAATATGAGTATATTAAAAATTAAATTAAAGTACAATTAAAATAAATTAAAGTATTTAATATGAGTATATTAAAAATTAAATTAAAATTCACCATGATACATAATGTTTTATAATAAATTATTATTTTTAATTTTGTTCAAAATTTTGTTTTGAACAAAATTAAATATAATAATTATAAAAAAAATTATTATTTTTAATAATAATTTTCTTATAATTATAATACTTATTTAAAAAAAAAAATTGTTTATCCACAGTATACACAATTGTATACCATGCATAAATATGTTGCTTTGTATATATGTAATTTATTAAATAAATTGCTTTGTATATGTGTAATTTATTAAATGTTTTTATTTATTAAACAATATATTTTAACATATTACATATTTTTATGACAAACTAAAGTATTAGTTGCTTTCTTTTTTATTATTATTATTATTGTTATTATTAAATATATAATTAATCATTTTCTAATTTAGCTGCATACAATTAATGGAAAAATTCTACTTTCAACTTTATTGACAAAGGTTTTTTATAAATTTTATGGGCAAAATTTAAAATCATCATTATAAATAAACAAAAAAGATTAGATACTCTTTTTTTATTTTGATTATAATTTTATCATTGTCTTTTACTGTCATATCATGTGCAAGATAACAAAATCAGTAATAAAACTTTTTTTTAAAAATTTAATTAAATTTAAATAACAATTTCAGGGCCAACAATATGGGTTTCAAAGTGCGACAACGACACGGGTTTCGCGCAATCGTCAATTATTAAAAAAAGTCTTGTGTCTAGAATTTTCTTAAAAAAAAAAAGAAAAAGAAAAAAAAGGTTTAGAAAAAAAGTGGGAGGCACGTACCCAGCTGGCTCCCCCATGTCATTGGCCCTGAATTATGAAGTTACCTTATAATTAAGATAAAAAAATCAGCAATGTTCATTAAGCTTCTCATATAAGAATTAGGATGTAAAACAAAGCCTTTAGAAATTATCTTGAGTAAAGTTTCCCAAATGAATATTCCGAGAATGTACCATTCAAATTTATCCTAAAAGTATACACAAAAAGATTTTCAATAAAATAATTTTAAAATTCACTCTAAAACAGAAATATTTATTCATACTCACAACATTATTATTTATCTTGGATCTATCTTGATTTGGAAGTGGTGTATCAATTGTAGCAAGAATACACGCAAATGTAATGGTAAAAGTAACAAAATAATGAAAACATGTTTAAAATAGATAAGGAAACATTATTTCTCAACATATTAAGTTGTATGTGACACATATGAAGCAAATATTGAATATGTTATTATTTAAATCAAAATAAATTGAAATTAGCCTTAATTTACATTCAATTTGAGGTTACTTGGAGTATAAAGAAGACTGTTTTAACATTGTCAATGACAAAAACTAAACAAAGAATTAAAAAAAAAGCTTAAAAATCTAGCAATCATCAAAATTAGTTAAACACAGGTAAAAGAGATTAAAGCAGTGTCCATTTAACAGTTTGTTTGTTTTTAATAATGTTTTATAATTATTTTATGTGCTTTTTATTTAAGGAAAAAGTCTTTTCTTAATTTAGGAGGATGATAATTGATAATACGATAATATACTGAGCTCATCTTGTTCCTCTGCACAGCAGCTTTGTTCATCAAGTTTTGTTTTTTAGAGTAATGCACCTGAGAGGGTTACAATATATACATAAAAAAAAAGAAAATGTAACCTCCTAGACCATTAGAAAGTAAATACAGTCAAAAATATTAAAGAAAGTCATACTTTGATGCAAAGTTAGGTCTTCCAACAATACTGTTAAATGGATCTCTTTTTGATTTGATTTAAATCTTTTTTTGATCTAATTTTACTTTTTTTTTCTTACTATTGGATCTTGTAGAAAAAAAACTAAACATATAAAATTATTTTGACCCAATAGCCATAATCATTAGTAAAACCAATTGGCATGGTTTTGTATACAGTATCCTAAAAAGAACGCTTTACCATTAGACAGTTAAACTATTAGAACAGATCAACTAGCTTGATTTTTGACACATTGAAGAATTTGATCCTTTATAGTTATGATTAAACTCCTCTGTTGAAATTGAATGATTAATACAATTTTATTTTTAATATTCTTTAAGTTTTTCTATTGGTCGCCATTTTTGAGGTTTTGTATTGGTTGCCAAGACTTTTTTCATGAATGTGTTTTTCTTTTTATTAAATAAATATTATCGATAACTTTGCATATATTAGATAGTATGTCAACTGTGTTGCCAAAGATAAATAAATCCTAATCGATAATTGCTGCGTTTCTAACTTTTTTTTTTTTTATAATTTATTCGAGTCTTCATGCTATATTTTTCTATACAGTGCTTTTCTCCGGAGATATTGTTGGCTTAGCATAGATGATAGCAAATGATTGTAGTGTGTATTGTAATGTACAAATCGTAATTAAAAAAAAACAGGTTATCTGTGTAGAATAGCTAATAAAACATACTACTAAAATTTAGTTTTCATTTAGTCTAATTAGACTAAAATACTGCTTTTCAACACAATAATTGCACCACACTTTCAGTATTGTACTTTGTCTATTAAGAACAAATAAAAGGGAATTTGAAAATTGCTGCAAAGCAAAGCAATCAGATGATGTTTAATGAACTGAATCGGCTATCCATCAAACAATTCATTGCAGTAAGAATTCTTACCGTATTTAAAAAAAAAAACAGTTATTTTGAAATTTCACGAGTCAGTTCAGTTTTTCACATGGCGATCTATAAAAATCGTATTTGCGAATCACAAGTAACAATTCCGAGAAAAATATACAAAACTAACTGAAAGAGTGTTTTCGTCACAAACGTGTCTAATATCAAAGATATAGAGCCGACGATACAGGTTTTGACGTGGTGGGGCACAATCATAAATTTCTGAAAAAGTCCTCTATATTTAGAAAGTTACAAATTGACTGAGTGTTTATGTAATGACAGGTAAATTCGAAGAAAATTTATTAAAGGAAAAATTTTTTTGTTATTTAAATTGTTATAAATCAAGCTTGATGCGGTAGTAGGTTCCTAGTGGACACAGTACATTTTTTAAATGTCTATTGAACGTTTTAGTTAGTCTTAAACCTAATTAAAACGTCAAGAAACTTTTTAAAAACGTACCGTGCCCACTGGGTTGTTTTACAAATCATTCCTATTGATAATAAAATACTTGAAATTTAAAAAAGGGCAAGACAAACAAAGCTGATACATGACAAAATGAGGATACACCAATAATTTTACTACTATGCAAAATAATAACGATTTTTGTTTTAAAAATTTTTGGGCGTTACTCTAAAGACTTTACTTTACTTATAATAAAAGTTATTAAAAGTTATAAGAGTATTTCGAAAGAAATTTATTAAACGAAGTTTAGGTTTTACAGATTTTTTACCATTAACATCATTAATTTAAATAACTTAAACTTATTTTGTGTATATCTATTTTGAAAAAATGGTCTTTTGAGTCTTGAGTGAATTGCATACTTAGTAAATTGCATACTCACGTCTACAATATTTATTTAAAACCTGCTTGAGTAAGTGCATGGGCGCCAACAGAGTTACGCTTTATAGTGATTAAGATGAAAAAACGCATTGTAAAAATTGTTGGACCTATTCTTGCAGCCAATCTACAACTATCCTCACATTGTCGCAATGTTGCTTCTCTTTTCTGTAAATACTATAATGGGCACAGCGCTAAAGAGTTAGCGTCTCTTTTGTCATTTACTAAAATTCATTGTTGTGTTACTTTTCATTCAACTAAGTTTCATCCTTTTACTGCAACTATTTGCTCTAGTTTTTTTCGTCGAAAATCAGTTCTTTGGAATTTGCTCCCTTCATATTGTTTTCCTGATTCATGTAATTTGTAATTTTTTAAATTTTTCGTTATTTGTTATCTTGTTTTATGAATTTCATTTTTTCTCTTACAGTAAAATACCCCAACTCTAATAGTGGTTGCTTGCAGCTATGTTGGAAAGGAAGATGTTTAAAAAAAAAATGAAGAAGATCTGAGTCTTGATATGGCATATACTCTGTTAGTGGTACGCAGCAATAAATAATAGCAAAAATTGCAGTTTCAATAGTGTTGTGCAAGAACGTTTCTTGGGAATTAATTAATGGCACCATTCAAGTAAGTTTTTGATGGTTTGAAAACACTTTTGTTCAGAGGATGAAGTTCATGACTGTTATGCGCATATGGATGTTTAACTTTTGACCTTGATGCAAGTTGCGCGGTTGTTACTTAAAAACAATTTAAATATTTGCTTCATTTGTTTCATTTAAATGAAACAAATAAAGTTCATAATAAATTACAGTAGTTTACAGTAAACTACAGGTTTTGAACGCAATCTCAACACCTATATACATAATCTCAATATCGAAAATCGAAAATAAACTTGCGCTATTAGCCGATATATATATATATATATATATATATATATATATATATATATATATATATATATATATATATATATATATATATATATATATATATATATATATATATATATATATATATATATATATATATATATATATATATATATATATATATATATATACATTAATAAAACTAATGATAGATTTTTAATATCTTTATCAAAACCAATCCAAGTATTATTAGTTTTGAATGTACGATCAATCAAACAACGAACAAGTCAAAATTTGTAGAAACAGGGAATAAAACTAAAGAAATTTTGTAAAAGACCTGTATACATTTTTTGTGATAAACTGAAGTCAAAAAACAAATTGGATTTTTTATTAAGTACATCTAAAAAGGATGGATGACAAAGTTGCTATTTTTAATTCTGAATATGATGCTCAAGTCTTTTTTAAACACCTCAATTAACAACATAAAAATTTGAAATTTACTATGGAAAAAGAACAAGATAACCAGATTGCCTTTTTAGATGTTCTTGTTAAAAAAATCTAATTCGTTTTCGACTTCAGTTTATAACAAAAAAAAGAATACATCTCTTTTATAAAATTTTTTAGTTTTATTTCCTCTTGCTACAAATTTGGACTTGTTCGTTGTTTGATTGATCGTACATTAAAAATTAATAATACTTGGGTTGGTTTTGATAAAGATAATAAGAATCTATCATTAGTTTTACAAAATAATAAATTTCCACCAAAAATTATTGACTCTGAAATTAAATCCTATTTTGATAAGAAAATGAACCCATATGTTTCTAACATTGTTAATAGCTTAAATATAAGATACTTTAAGCTCCCATACATTGGAATGTAATCTAATTCTACTAAATTAAAAATTGTTTATAAATATTGCATTGATGTTCCAATAAAATTAATTTTCACCACTAATACAATACAAGATTGTTTTTGCTTAAAAGAGTCAATTCCTAAATTGCTTAAATCTCATGTTGTCTATAAATTTTCTTGCGCTGGCTGTAATGTCAGTTATATTGGAGAAACCTCCAGACATTTGACTACTAGAATAAATGAGCACCTTAAAAGTGATAAACAATCTCATATATTTAAACACTTAAAAACATCTATTAATTGCAAAAATCTGGCTAACTGTGATTCTTTTAAAATTTTGGATAATGCCCCCAACCAAACACAAAGTAATAATAAAACAAGACCTTCAAATCAAATGCGAAAGATCCCTCAATTAATAAACAAACTTTACATTATACTATAAACTTATCCATTTAATTCTATTTTAAATTTTTTTTATTTTTTTATTTTGACATTGGGTTATTTTGATTGTTTATTTACCGAGTTATTATGTAATAAATATATTGGTTTATTATATATAATTTTTATCCGTTTATATTTCTCTGTAAAGACTTCTACTTTTTAATATTTACTACAGAGTTTTTTTATTGTAAAATAATCTTTTGAAAATAAAAATTAATTTTACGAAACATGCCAAGAATAAAAGTAGTTAAATTAAAAAAATAACTACTTGTTTTATGTTATTTCGACCAAAGGCGATTTTACGGGCAGGTTACCCCCCCCCCCCCCTACACCCCCGGAAGAAGGCGATTTTCAAGTTATAGTCGGTATTTTTACGAATTTAGTCGACTTGTCTAAGTATAGTCGGCTATATCACACAATTCTGTCGGTTAAATTTTTGTTTTGAGGACCTTTTTATTTATTTTTTGAGGGTTTACCCCCCCCCCCCTCATTTTACTCGAATCGCCACTATTTAATAATCACTAGCCACTATTTAATAGTTATATATATATATATATATATATATATATATATATATATATATATATATATATATATATATATATATATATATATATATATATATATGTATATATATATATATATATATATATATATATATATATATATATATATATATATCAGGCGCGGATCAAGCATTTTTTGATGTTTGAGATAACTAACTTCCAGACATGGAACAAACTCCAAAAATTAATATGTTTATACTTATGTCAAATAAAGATGATTTGCAAAAAATTGCGACGATTGGAGTCTGGGAACAAAAAAGCCCCAAAATTTTGGCCACACAAACCCCAAACAAGAGAGCAACAAGTTGATAAAATATTTTTTGTACAATTCTTAAGTAAATCTATATTAATCGATAAATTCTAAATTTCATACAATAATCTCTTAGTGTTCAAAAAACATGACCTTACAAAATTTGTAACCCCCTCAAATTGAGGGGGGTTAAAGCTTTGTGCAATTATAATTTTTGAACACTAAGAGATTATTGTATGAAATTTAGAATTTATCGATGAATATAAATTTACTTGAGAATTGTACAAAAAATATTTTATCAACTTGTTGCTCTCTTGTTTGGGGTTTGTGTGGCCAAAATTTTGGGGCTTTTTTGTTCCCAGACTCCAATCATCGCAATTTTTTGCAAATGATCTTTATTTGACATAAGTATAAACATATAAATTTTTGGGGTTTGTACCATGTCTGGAAGTTAGTTATCTCAAACATCAAAAAATGCTGGATCCGCGCCTGTATATATATATATATATATATATATATATATATTCTAATTTAAAAATGAAAAGATATTTTGATTCTGTTATTAAAGTTGCTATTTTTCGAATCTTGTTATCGGGCTGAAATACAAACAACGATGAGAAGTCTTCCTTATATTTGGTATTAGTTTTTGACTTAGTAATCTTTTGAGAACTTTTATTTGAATTGAAGATTTCATTTAAGTTAAAAGAAGAATTCTCCAAATGATTCTTAGCTGATGACGTTGTAACAAAATCTTTGATGTTTACTTTTGAAGTATAATTAGCAAATTTAGTTTTCTTACAACTAGTTAATTTTTTAAAATAGTTTTCTTCTATGTCTTCTGGCGGGATTAATTTCATTGGCTCCTCAAAACATCCATTGCTTTTGATTTTTTTGTAATATTCCAAACTTTCTTGCAATATATTATTTGTTTTAGCTTCGACGTTGTACTTACGTTTAACCATTTTATAAGATTTCATCTTAAATTTTTTTTTTATCTTTTAAGTAATTTAAAAAAACAAATAATTAAAAACGTAATTGATAACTTGTACACTTTTTTGATACTATTGTAAAGTTTTGATAAAACACAAAATAATAGTTTTATTTGAACCATCTGCCATTTACTTTCTTTCTTATTTTCAAAACATTAATTAAATTTAAAATAAAATCTTTAAAATATTAAAACTGTTAAATATTAATATAATTAAATTTAAATAAGCTTAAATATTAATACTTTCACAATAAAATTTTGTTTATAAAAATGAATTCAGCTAAAATATAAGATTTTGGAAAAAGTTACAGCATTTTTCATATTTATTCATTTTTCTGTTTTACAAAATATTTTTTAATTTTTTTAATGTCCAGTTTATTTCTTCAATTTTAGGCATATTAATTATCCCAATAAAAGAAAATAAAAAAAAGTTTTTGAATGTCATGACATGGTCCAGATGACCAAAGAACACTTTTGTCAGTAGAGAAAGTTGAAATGGGAACTTGTATTGCTATTAATCATTTTAATGAAGACAGTAAAAGCTTTTTTTAGATGTTTAAAAGAAATTCAACTTGATTGCCGGGCCGCGCCGAGGGGATTCTGGGATATCCCCCGCCCCCCAACGAAAATTTAATTCAAAAATTAGTTGGCAAATTTGGGCACTGGAGACGGCAAATGTTGGCAAACGAGGACTTTTTTTTCAAAAGATCTTAATCGACAAAATTTTAGATAAAACAAATACTTCCCCCCCCCCTCTCCCTTTCAGATTTCTTTGGGACCGCCCTGTTTGACTGGGTACATAACAGTAATTACATGTGTTTAGATTGATTAATTCTTGTATAACGCAAATGAAGCGTAAGTCAACACATATTTAACAAAGTTAGAAAATTCATGCAACTGAATATATATTACGTCACAAAGTTATTCAATTTTTGGCATTTTTTAGACTTAAGTCTAAAAAATACGTAAAACTGAATAGCTTCGATTTTAGTCTTTTCACCATTATTAATGTTTCACAAACTGTTTGAACAAAATTTAAGACATGTCAGTTTTTAAGGCTTAACATTAGCAGCTTTTAAAATACAGAGCAGAAAAATCTTGGACCTTTTGGTTCCGAGCCAGAACTCTAACTACTGAGTAACAGCTGCTAAACATTTTAACTAGGCACATACACATATACCATGTGTTTGAAAAAAAAATCAATTACAAATAACTAATGATAATAAGCATAAACAAGTATAAACAAGTGGAAGACCTACGTTGACACTTCTAATAAAACTTCTATTATTATAAATATTTTAGACAACTTTATTCAACAATTATTGAAAATAAAATTAAATAAATACTTATTAGTTTATTATTAAAATGCAAACATTCGAATGAATGGACTTGTTCGAGCTGTCAAACCCAATTGAAGTAAAGAAAAAGTTGAAATATCGCAAGCATCGTTAGAAATGCGTTTTTTGCTATCTTATAGCATTTCAAAATTTTAAATACAATACTCATCAATATCAGTTTAAATATTATTTATTAAGAATAAATAATAAACAATATTCATTTTCCAAAGCCGCCAAAACCCATCAACGCAGCGACATCATCATCTTGGTATTCTTTTAAGGATTCTTCGTGTTTTCTTTTTCTTTCGGCTTTTAACCCTTTTTTACGTAGACGAGCTCTTTCTTCCTTAAAAAAAAAAAAAATTAATTATTAGAAATCGTTTTAACATATAAATATTGAACCTCGGTAATTTGAAATATATACTTTTTCATACATGTTTCGATATAAATTTAGACTATTGTCAATTATATTTTAACAATAAATTCCGATGGTCTTCATTACATTAGTCATTTATTTTTAAAATGCAGAAGCGCCGAATTAAATACATTTCATTAATGTTGCAAAAAATAAATCACATAAATAAAAATTAAATGAATAAAAATCAATTAAAAAAATTTGTTGAACTAAGATTTAAGTATGACTATTATCACATTTTTGAAACTAAAAATTTTAATAAGATCTATTTTATTTTGCTGCAAAAGTTTTTTACAAAAAATTTCTAGGAAACAAGGAGAAGTATTAATTCAACATAATATAAGGGAAATATTAATACATTGATAGATAATCCATTGATGTAAAACTTAGTTATCCCGCAATATTAAAAAGTAAAAAAAAAAATTTTGCAATTTACCCCGCTCCGAGGCAAGTTTTAAAACATACTGTGAAAAAAAAACTCATCCAGAGTCTTCATAAAAATTATTTGTAAGTTTGTAATTTCATATTTTTAAACTTATAATAAAGAAAAAGTAAAATACAGAAAACATAGATTAGAAGTAGATATCGGAGGGTACAATACCATTGTCAGATTTTGCACAAGCTAATGCTTACTAAAATGATTCCATTTCTTTATAGATAACTTCAGAATGTAGAAATTTCAGCCTCGGACAGGAATCATTACAAAAAATTATTTTATTTCATATTTAAAAAAAAGGTTTTTGCAAAAAATGATTTTTAGAAGCCTTTTTTTATTGAACTCTTAAGTATATTTTGAAAAAAGTAAAAATTAAGTAGTAAAAAGTATATTTTGAAAAAAGTATTCTCTTAGTCGATAAACAAAACATTAGCTTTTAAAAATTCCAGAGGTTTCAAGAAATTAGAATTCTATTTTTTGATTTGAATACACTTTACTTTTTATATGAAAGAAAAACAGATAAAAATGTAAAAAAACAAAAACAGAACTTTGTAGAAAACAAAAATCAAACTATATAAATGACTAATATAAAAAAAAAAATAAGAATTTTATGTAAAAAAAAAATATAAACCATAAAAATTTTATGTAAACTAATTCGTTTAGTGATATAATAACTCCAATCAATTTTAGAAATAACCAGAAATCAATCAAACCTGCAGTTATATTGTGATTCAACGTATCCACATAAATTTAACGCAATTTACTTGGTAGGCATCATGATCAATTTATACAATTGTTTAATTTAATAAGTCTTTTTTTCCATCTTTTTTATAAGAAGAGGTTTTTTTTAATGCCTTAGTTCATATACCTCTTGGTTTACAGTAAAACCGAAAAAAAAACTTTAGAAACACAAACAGGATTTTATATCATAAAAACAAAATTATAAATAACTTTTGTAATTTTTATCTTACAACTATTAGTTTTTTATAGCTGACGTGTTATCGAAATTGTATGTAAAATTACACCGGGCAACAAAAAAATTTTTTTTGTATATAACGTTTTTGTTCAAGTTTTACTAACTTTGCGGTGAGGAAAAAAAAAGTAATTAGGGAAAGCTCTTATTAGCTCTAGATTCTGAGGTATATATTGGCAATAAATTTATATTTCAGTTAATTTGATCAGAGCAATATATTTAACTCGCATATTCTAATAATAATTAATGTGTATCATACCAAAATTTTTGAAAAGTATCAAATTTTATTTTATATGAATTTTTTTAATCAATGATATAAATGAATGATATAAATTCATAATGAATATGAATTTAAAAGAGAAGTTTTTAAAAAAAATTTTTTTTTTTTACACTTTTTTTCAAAAACTTTACTTATCTTAGCAACGTCCTTAGCAACCACGATTTCAACATTGTAATAGATCATTATAATCCGAAATTTAAAGTTTAAAAATGCATCAAAATAAAAACCTAATATTTAAACTTATAATCTTATAAAAAAAATTAAAGTTAGTCTAGTTTTACATTAAAAAAATCAGAACTTTTAGTAAAGATGTAAAATCAATATGTGATATTTGCAAAATGAATTTAACTGTTTTTGAATTTTATCTTTGAGAAATGATTTCTTGAGTTTTTATTTTCAGGACCTGCTGAATTTTACCAGGATATAAAATTCAAATCAAATCAGAAATCAAATAGATTGATTTGAGTGAAGCATTTTAAATTTTGTTGGGTACCGCAATCATGAATAAAAGTTTTTTTTTTTTAATGTTACCATAGCAACTGTTGCCACAAACAAAAACTTCTCTTTCAAATCAATTTATGTTTTATGCTTGTTAATCTTTTTCTATAAGATTTTGGAATTTAAGATTTTTTATTGAGATAACCTATGATTTTGTTGTTTTATTGATTTGGCTTGTTAGTTGGTTTTTTGAGTTGGTTGGCTTGTTGGTTGGTTGGTTGAGTTGGTTGAGTTGGTTGAGTTGTTTTATTGATTTGGTTTGCAAGGCAACAGCCCCCAAAGCAGTTTATAATTTTTAATAAATTTTATGCATATATATTTTTTTAATACATAATTTCAATTACATTTAAAAGATTTAATGGTTTAGCGTTAACTTTTTCAGAAATTTAGCTTCTTTTAATGCTCAAATTTTAAAACTCTTTTTAAGCTCAAATGCCCCCTCAAACCAATCAGAGAGTGTTTTCTTCTTATTAAGACAAAAATAAATGGTAGTATTATCAACAAACTATGCCATCTTCGATATAAAATTTTTTAGGAGATCGTTAATGTAAATTAAAAAAGTATAAGGCCAATGATAGAACCTTAGGGTACACCTGATGTTACAGGAAATGAAGAAGAGTGTTATCCATCAGGGACAACTTTAATACTACAATTGATAAGTAAGAATTTAATAATCTTAAAGATGTTGCCTAATACACCTTAAGAAGAAAGCTTATGGAGAAGATCAACATGCCAAACTTTATCAAAAGCTTTAGAAGTGTCAAGAGCGATAGCCTTAACCTTTCCACATCTATATAATGCACAATAAAAACTATTGGTTATTACCATTAACAAATCAGCAGTAGAATAAAAAGATTGAAATCCATATTGATGATCAAAAAGTAAGTTATTAGATTCAAGATAAGAAATACTTGTTAATTAAAGATTCAAAAACCTTGCTTAGGAAAGAAAGAAGATTAAAGGACGGTAGTAAGATGAGTCAGATCACTCTCCAGAATTTTTGAATATGGAGGTAACAGATGCTGCTTTCCAGCAGGTTGGAAAACAAGACTGATAGGCACTTGTTAAGTAGTTTTGAAAATTCAGATGACAGTAAAGGAGAACACTTCTGCAAGACTATTATAGGTATGTTGTCTGGACCACAAGCTGTAGAAGAGTCTAAGCAGGAAATCACTTTAGATACAGATGCTGGAGTGATACAAATGTCAAACAATAGATTAACCTGTTTTCCGGCTATATCAGGTAGAATGTGATTAGTGGGATCAAGAGATGAGATTAATGAAAAGTTCTTCGCAAACAATTCAGCTTGGTCTATATGATGTGTGAGATAAAAAAATATGAACCTTGCAAGAGAGGTAGAATAACAGATTTGTCCTAATTCCAGACACTGCTATAGATTCTCCAGAAGTCTGGGGAGCTTAATTTTTAAAGATGTAATATGAGTTTTTATGATTTGAGAATACCTTTGGTATTTAGCTTTGGCATCAGAGAAAATCTTTTTACAATGGTTTCTAGCAATGGCAAACAGACATCTTTTTTTGGAGAGCTGTTTTGGTGATAGATATGGAAGCAATGGTTATGATTAGAAATTGCAGCAGAGCAATGAGAGTAAACCATGGAGAAGAGAGAGGGTTGAATTGGAATCTTTGAGAAGGAATAAAATATTTTATGCCAGTCTAAATCCAAGAAGATACATAAGAAGCACATTTGTCAGCAGCAAGACAAAAGATTTCTATCCAAGGGCCATCACAAAGAAAATTACAGAAAGAGTCCCAGTCAGCTTCAAGGTAGTTGTAAGAGGTACAATGGTAGGGGATTCTAATGACAAAGAAGAATGAGATAGAGATTAAACCAAGAATGATAGAGAGATTAAACCAAGATCAGAAAAACCTAAGGGTAAATGTGAGCACTGACTAGGATCAGAAACAAGACATAAGTCAAGTATAAAATGATTCGGATTGTCTGGAAAGTGAGTTGGAAAGTTGACTATTTGTGTTAGAGATTGGTTGTTGTTGGACTTAATGCCTGTAGTTGTTGGACTTAATGCCTGCAGAATCACTGAAACTATAACCAAGCCATTCAGTGTGATGAGCAAGGGTGTGGAGTCATAAAAAAAAAGTAACGACTCCGACTCCAGTTGTTGAAATTTTTTCAGTACAACTCGGACTCCAACTCCAACTTCGACTACAACTCCAAAGCAAAATTTTTGAAAAATTCTTTGAATTTTTTAAAAAAATATTACGCGATAAGTTAAAAAATTTTTTTTGACAAGTTTATAAAACCTTATTTAAAGTTTAGTATGAACATAAGGTTAATTGAATGTTTTGTACATGCACGTGCAATCCCGAGAAGTTTTACTATTGGAGTCGGAGTCGCAATTTTGTTTAGCGACTCCGACTCCACTAAAAATGTCGCAACTCCGCAACTCTGACTCCGACTCCACAGCCCTGGTGATGAGCATTAGTCACCAATAACAACAATATTGGCTGAAGAATAAAGAGAAAGGGCTAGGTCAATTTGATCAGAAATAACACCGAAAAGAGTGCAGGCTTGAGATGAAGGAGACAGATATAGAACAAAGATAAAGGGTTGAGCAGTGCTAAACGAAAGCACATAAAAGAATAGCCTGTGGATTCAAGCCTAGTTTCCTGACAAATGGGTGAATTCTTACAAATTTAAATGCCCAGGCCATGCATGTGACTATTGGAATCTTTACAAATTAGAGGAAGATAACTATAAACACT